AATATATTTTACTATGATTAAACATTTTTTATTTGTTGTCATTATAACAAGTTAGGCCAATTGTATTTATTGTTCAGTTATTAGGAGTTTAGCATTTGCTTTTATTTAAGATTCTGTGAACTTTTGTTTTTTGTCATCTATGTGTTTTGAGGATTATAATACATATGTTTTCAAATTTAAATCTACTGATGTTTTCCTTTCTAATTTTTCTCCATTGCTTTGTGTTTAGGAAGTGTATTTTAATCCACAGAGTAGAAACATATTAAAGGTTCCTCTTCATTTTTTTGGGTGGGGGTCATCTACTTTGAGTATGAAGTATAATATTAGATTTGAATAAAAAAGTCTCCCCTAAATGTCCAACTAATCAACCTATTCATTTACTCTCCAATTTTGTGCTCTCACACGTAATATAAATTTATCATACTAGGCTATCAGTGTAAGATAGTATTTTGAAATTGTCTTAGACTTTCTCTATCCTGACCTAATCTTTTGAGGATTTGTTCATTTGGAACATTTATTTACTACCCTGCTTCTCTTTTGGCTCTGTTTCTCTCTTTCTGTTTTTAATTTTTATTTCTTCACTTTCCAGAATTAGAGAAAAAAAAATGGATCTACATCTGAGTGCTTGCAGGCAGCTGCACCATGAGATTCAGCTTTGTATTCCCTGTGGCCTTATTAAGATTTCTTAACTGTAGAATTAGAACATGTGAGAGATAAGGAAAAGTACAAGGAAGAAAATAAAGTAGTCTTACCACTCAAATATATTCTGGTATTGTTAAATGCTATAAGGCAAATTTACTTCAGGTTATGTAGTAAATGGAAATAGATAAAATACTCATAAATATGACATAAATAAATATACATATTACTTTGTTAAGTTCTTCTTACTTATAATAATTCCACACTTTTTTCATTTGTTTTTGTGGTACTAGGGAGTGAACTCAAGGCCTTGTATGGATTACTAATTATGAATGTACTGTTATTTCAGAAGTGATTGAATTTCAGAGCAATGATGTGGACAGAATACCTAAGGTGTCTCTAAGATGCAAATGTACATGTGTGTGTTTGTGTGTGCATTTCTTTTTGTAGTATTGGATATTAAACTCAGTGACTTGTGCTTGCTAGGCAAGTGCTCTACTGCTTGAGATACAACTTCCGGTTTTCTGGTGGTTTATTGGAGATAGGAGTCTCACGGTCTCTCCTGCCCAGGCTGGCTTTGAACCTCGATCCTCAGATCTCAGCCTCCTGAGTAGCTAGGATTACAGGCGTGAGCCACCAGCGCCCGGCCGTGTTTCCTATACATTTTATAGTAAAGTCAGAGAGAACAAGTAGAATGTACATTTCATGTTTCTTAGGAAGCCTAGACAGTTTTGGCCACTTGAGTCTTTACACAGTAGTAGCATTGTAGTCTAGGACTGATCCTTAGCTAATGATATCTCCGAAGTAAAAAGGAATCCAGAATTTTGAAGACAAGAAGAATTAGATGCCAAATAAAATTAATGAGATTGGTGGCTATAAAATTGATATAGTCAGAAGTTAGGAGGGAGAGATGTGGTTAAGGCCTGAATCCAAAGAGGGATCCCAGTCCAAAACTAGAGGGAAAATGTGGAACAAACAAGAGATTGGCTAATAGAGAAGAGGCTGTAGATGAGAGGATGGAGGTGGTGATGACAGTCCATACCTAGAGAGAACAGGTAATCACTTTAGATTTTCTCTGCAGCACCATGGTTCATAGCCACTAGTTTCTGGAGAGCTGAGTAGCCTGAGCTTTATTAGGAGAGGAGTCCTTGGTGCACATGGTTTGTATCTTCAAATTCTCATGGCTCAATTAAGTTTAGTTACATGTTCAAGGCGTCTATATGGAGAGGTAAAGGAAAAGAATATTTTTAAGGAATATTGAGACCTTGTAAAACTACCATGACATTAGGATGTGTGTTTTGGGGGATTCTTGGAAACTTGGAAAGAGAAAACTATATTATGCAATAAATCATGGGCAAGTAGTCCGGTGTGTAGAGAGGAGAAGGTCCAGTGGGGGCAGTAATGAGAGGCGGCATGAGAAAGTTCTTCAGCCCAAGTGGAGAGCCTTTAGGATCAATGGCTTTAGCATTTAGACTTTATCACTTCATTTGGAATTAGGAAGACTGTAGCAAAGAGGAAGTTATACATAACCACCTACTTGAATCGTGTGTGTGTGTGTGTGTGTGTGTGTGTGTGTGTGTGTGTGTGTGTGTGTGTGTGTGTGTGTGTTTGTGTGTGTTGATCTTAGCGCTTAAACTATGGGTCTGGGTGCTGTTCGTGTGTGTGTGTGTGTGTGTGTGTGTGTGTGTTGATCTTAGCGCTTAAACTATTTGCCTGGGTGCTGTTCCTGAGTTTTTGTGCTCAAGGCTATCACTCTGTCACTTGAGCCATGGCTCCACTTCTGGATTTTTAACTGAAAATTAGAGTCTCTCAGATTTTCCTGCCTTGACTGTAATTAAACCAAAATCCTCAGATCTTAGCCTTTTGAGTAGTTAGGATTACTAGTGTGAGCCACTGGTGCCTGGCCTACTTGTATCTTTATAGTTTCTTTTTCACATGTACTCAAATAATGTAATGTCTTTAGTTTTGAATTCTATTATGCATGCAGCCAAGTGGTTAAAAAACCAAGTGATTATGATGCAAATTATATTTTGACTTGATTTCCATTTATAAACTTGGCAGTATTATTTTTATTAAAAGTATGTAAATACAGAAGTGAAAACTTTCAATAAAGAAGGTGAAGAGATTATCTGAAGCTCTTATTTTCATCCTACTGACCTCTCAAGTTCATTTCATTTTTCTTTGGTTTAGGTATTTGCATTATTTTATGAATTGTGGGTATGAGACTATACTGACAGGGTGAGTCCCTGCTGACATTTGATATATATTAGTTTGAAAAATCCTAATATTTGGAGCTTTATTCTTCTTGGTTTTTTTTTTTTTGTTGTTGTTGGTCGTGGGGCTTGAACTCTGGGCTTGGGTGCTATCTTTCAGCTCTTCAGCTAAAGGCAAGCGCTCTACCACTTGAGCCACAGCGCCACTTCCATGGGGCTTTATTCTTCTATGTTAGAATTAGTTAACTACTTAAAAACACATTAAGAGGGCTGGGAAGGTGGCTCAGTGGTAGAGCGCTTGCCTTGCATGCCTGAGGCCCTGGGTTCGATTCCTCAGCACCCACATAAGCAAAAAGAAAAAAGCCGGAAGTGGCGCTATGACTCAAGTGGTAGAGCGCTAGCCTTGAGCTGAAGAGCTGAGGGACAGCGCCCAGGCACAGAGTTGAGGCCCATGACTGGACCCCTCTCCCCCCCCAAAAAAACCCCAACAAAACAAAAAAACACATTAAGAATTTATGCCAGTATTAGGGCCTTAATGTTCTTGCTCACAGCTGTTGCAGTATTACTTGAGCCATGCCTCTACTTCTGTGTTTTTGTTTTGGTTAACTGGAGATGATTTTTGTTGTTGTTGTTATTATTGGTTGTGGAGCTTGAACTAAGTAAGGGCCTGGGCACGTCCCCCAGCTTTTCACTCAAGACTAGCTCTCTATCACTTTAAACCACTGCTCCACTTCTGGTTTTCTGGCGGTTAGTTGAAGATGAGTCTCACAGACTTTCCTGCCCAGCCTGGCATGGACTGTGATTCTTAGATCTCTGCTTCATGAGTAGCTAAGATTACGGGCATGAGCCACTGGTGCCAGGCAAGATGATTCTTTTTTTTTTTTTAAAGACAGTGTCACCCCTTAATTCACATTCCCCCAATCTTCCCTTCCGGTCCCTGTCCTCAAGTTGAATAGTAGATTCTTTTCTTTTTCTTTTTTTAAAAGTAAGATTCTTGAGGATTTCTCTGCTTTGGTTGGCTTTGATTCTCAGATCTCAGCCTCCTAAGTTGTTAGGATTATAGGTGTGAGCCAACACTGCCTTGCTCCTCACTGAGAATTTAAAATGTGGACTATCACATGAGGCAAATGTTCATCATGAGAACACATACCCTTCCTGTTCATTTATCCCTGCATTCCCAGCATGAGGCATAGTCAGGGCTTGACCCAGAATAGGAACAAACTCAATAGATGAAATGAAAGTGTGAGTGAGTCCTCAACCTTCGGATTATGCCATTCTCCTGATTTTATTTCATGGTACTTGCTTCTCACTCCTAGAAGTTATCCTCTGTTAAATTAGGAGGTTATTATCACATACTGGAGAATCTGGTGACATTTGTTATGAGTGATTCTATCATCTAACTCATAAATTAGTCCTGAATATATTGTCAACATTTGTGACTGCTAAGAATTGTTCACTTTGGGTGAACATAGTTTCTATAATGACTGCTTATTATGTATTTAAAAGCACCATCTCGCTGGGCGTTGGTGGCTCATGCCTGTAATACTATTTACTCAGGAGGCTGAGATCTAAGGATCACAGTTCAAAGCCAGCCTGGGCATGAGAGTCCGTGAGACTTTTTTTTTTTTATTGTGAAAATACCATACAGAGGGGTTACAATTACATGGGCAAGATAATGAGTACATTCTTTAGCTCCAATAAACCACTCAGAAAACCAGAAGTGGCACTGTGGCTCAAGTGGTAGAGCACTTGCCTTGAATTGGGGAGCTGAGAGGTAGTGCCCAGGCCAAGTTCAAGCCTCATGACCGACCAAACAAAAACAAAAACAACAAAACCCCACCATCTCTCAGTGAATGGTATCAGAATGAAGCCGGCTGGAAAGAGCAGAGCTGAGATTCCCATGCAAGCAGGTGGTGAGGCTCGCTTGTGGCTCCCTGCTACCCTGGGCTCTGTACCCACACATGTAGCTTTTCCCACAGAGGATGGCCAGTCTCACCTGTCTTTTAGTCTTTTAGGGGTATGATGGGATGGGAAGAGCTAACTTTTTACAAATTCTTCAATGCCCGGAGAAAATGGCAACATTTAGAAGAATGTAAGGCTTTATTAACTGCTAAAGTAATTTGTACTGTTTTCTTTCATTTTTATTAGGGAAAAAAGCTCCTGTTTTATTTAGTAAGGAAATGATCGAGTCAATGAAGGAAGGTTCAGTTGTTGTGGATTTAGCAGCCGAGGCTGGTGGAAACTTTGAAACCACTAAGCCAGGAGAACTTTATATTCATAAGGTATAGCAAAAAAATCTTCTAACTATGAATCAATTCTTAAATCTGTAGTGTTTCGTTGAGGGTTCCATTTTCTTTTTCAAGTATTGGGTATTGAATGCAGGGCTTCACGTTTGCTAGGCGGAGGGCTCTACCACCGAGCTCTAGCCTCAGCTGGAGATGTTGAGGCCTGAAACTTCAAAAATTAAAATCAGGCATATTTAAAGATTGTTTTGAAGTAATGTGGGTGTGCATGCATGCATGTGTGCCTTTGTATATATCTATAAAGACGTGATTTCTTAGCTGAGTACTAACAGTGGATGCAAATTGCCTTAGAAAGAATATCCTAGAAAGAAAGTGAGGTTGGGTAGGGTAGAGCATAGGGCAATGGACCACTGTGACTACATGTTTTTTGTTTTTTGATTTAGGGAGTAACTCACATAGGCTACACAGACCTTCCCAGCCGAATGGCCACCCAGGCCAGCACTCTGTATTCCAACAACATCACCAAACTCCTGAAGGCCATCAGTCCTGACAAAGATAATTTTCATTTTGAAGTGAAAGATGACTTTGACTTTGGTACTATGGATCATGTCATTAGAGGAACTGTGGTGATGAAGGTAAAGATGACTTTCTTCCTGTGCCTTTATAATTTATTTAGGTTTTCTTTTCATTGAGGAATTCTGTTATACAGTAGAGATATAGTCTAACAAAGCACTGACATGTTATAGTTGTGCCAGTAATAATTGTTTAAGAATGTAGAGTGACTAGAAGAAAAATATTTCACAGACTTTAGTATATACAACTCACTGAAAACACAGTACTTCTTTTCTTATATGTTGGAGTTGTTAATTGTTTAATGATTGAACTGAAGGAAATTTCTATCATCTTCCTATTGAATGCTTTATTCGATTAACAAGTTAGCTTCTTCCTCTTTTATTTATCTCTCTCCTATTTTATTATTTCCACAACACATAAATAAACACGTTGAATAAAATAAAAATTAAATGTTCTCCTCACTTATATGTTTATTTTAAGGGTTTGATTTATATTATTTTATATCTCCCAGTCATATACAGACTATATAACAAAATATATGCATATTATAAAATTATACATTAGTCATATAAAATTATATTTGAAAGAACAATATTGTTTTCAGCACAAACTGTCCTATATAGGTGGTTTTGAAATGACAATTCAACTTTTTACTTGCTGTGAGGAGCTTGAATTCAGGGCCTTGAGATCTTGCTCACCAATAGTGCTCTACCACCTGAGCCACACCTCCAGTCTGCTAGTGTTTGCCGATTAATTGGCAAACATTTAAAGACATTTCTGTGCAGGCTGGCTTTGAGCTTCTGTCCTCTGGATGTCAACTTCCTGAGTAGCTATGATTATAGGTGTGAACCACTGCTCCCCAACTGACAATTGAACTTTAAAAGAAAAAATTTATTTTCTAATCTCTGTCAGGATGGCAATGTAATTTTCCCAGCTCCCACACCAAAAAATATTCCTCAAGAAGCCCCAGTAAAACCAAAGACTGTGGCTGAGCTGGAAATGGAAAAAGTAGCTGCGGTCACTCCTTTCATGAAGACTATGAGAACGGCTTCTGTGTGTACAGCAGGTGAGCATCCTACTTAACAGACTTGATCTTGATTGTTTGATTTTTGTAGTGTAGCAGAAATGTGGTGCTGTTTTCTTTTTCTTCTATCAGTATTTGGGTCTGATGGACCTGACTCCTCACATTAGTTGATCTACCTCTGAGGGGTGGGAGAGTACATTGATCATCCTGGGCTCATCATAGCCACTGGGCTAGTCTTAGAGTAAAGACGTGAATTAACACACAGTCGGTCAAAACATTTCCTATCCTAGAAGATGTACATATTACTATTGATATTTTCTTTTTTGTTGTTGTTGTTGGTCATAGGGTTTGAACTCTGGGCCTGAGTGTCATCCCTCAGCTCTTTAGCTCAAGGCTAGTGCTCTGCCACTTGAGCCACAGTGCCACATCCTGTTTTCTGGTGGTTTATTTGAGATGAGAGTTTCACAGCCTTTCCTGCTGGCTTTGAAATGTGATCTCAGACCTCAGCCTCCTGAGTAGCTAGGATTACAGGCGTCAGCCACCAGTGCCTGGCTACCATTAATATTATTATCTACATTAAATATATTTAGTAGTGATGAAGGTCAGTTTGTAGTGGTGTTATATGCATATAAGTGTGTGTGCTCTGTAAATACCAGTTTTGATTATCTGTACAACTGTGTAAGACTGGAGACCAGATATATAAAAATATGCTGCAGAGTAAGGTACAACTCTAGAACATTGAACTAACATTTCAAGTTACTCAGTTAAAAAAAAATTAAGACTTTAGTTTTGACCTATTTCTTTGCAATTTGTCCTGAATTCTTGATTTTTAAATGCATCTTCATGAAAACACTAAAGAATCATCATAAAATAGTGAGAAATGTTCAGTCTGGCAATGCCTCATTAGAAACTGAAATCTGTTTAGTTGATTTTAAATTGGTTTCATTCTCCTAGAGCAAATTAAAAATGCTTAGATGTGCTTTGTGCCAAAATAAAAAATAAAAACAAAACAAGAAAGCAAACTATAAAGAACTGAAAGGTCCATTGCAGGCACATAGAATTCTTGTAGCCTCAGCATCCTCCAAATTCCCTTGTGAGTCCAGATGTTAGGAAGCTGAATGTGTAACGCTCGTTGAATAAAGAGCAAGTCTCAGCAAAATGACCCAAAAAGCTTCTGGTTGTGAATGTTGTGATACATGGGACGATGTCCCTATTTGCACCCATTGGTTTAAAAAAAAAAAAAAAGAAAGAAGCAGCTAGATTCTTGTGTTATATGTGGAGTAGTTTCCAAATTAGAGTGTGAATTTCTATTTTTTCTTTGAGATTCATAAGAAAAGATGCCAGGGCAGATATGATGATTTATATTTATGGAGTCAAGATATACAGCTTTGGGGCTGGGAAGGTGGCTCAGTGGTAGAGTGCTTGCCTTGCATGCATGAGGCCCTGGGTTCGATTCCTCAGCACCACATAAGCAAAAAGAAAAAAGCCGGAAGTGGTGCTGTGGCTCAAGTGGTAGAGCACTAGCCTTGAACTGAAGAGCTGAGGGACAGCGCCCAGGCTCAGAGTTCAGGCCCCATGACCGGACCCAAAAAAAAAAAAAAAAATACAGCTTTTTAACAGGTTGTTAAGCAAACTTTCGCATGTGTGATACGATTTGCATCTTTGATGCCCAACTCAAAGGACTGTGGATGATAGAAGTTCCTGCTTCTTGATAGATGGGATCAGAGTAATGGGTAGCATTTAGTGAGTGTACAGCACTCTGCGGAACTTATTTCTTTTTTTTATTTTATTATTTATTTATTTTTTGGTGGTCTGGTGGTGGGGTCTGAGCTCTGGGCCTGGGCACTGTCCCTCAGCTCTTCAGCTCAAGGCTAGCACTCTACCACTTGAGCCACAGTGCCACTTCTGGCTTTTTTTTCTACTTATGTGGTGCTGAGGATTCAAACCCAGGGCCTCATGCATGCAAGGCAAGAGCTCTACCACTGAGCCACCTTCCCAGCTCTGAACTTATTTCTTATAAGAATTAAAGGAAAGGTCATATTCTTCTCCAGATGAAGGCAAGGAGAGCTAATACTTTTGTAGAAGAGGACAGCAAAGCACAAAAAAGTTAAATAACTTATCTGAGATCATACACTAACAAGCAGCTGAATGAGGATTTGAACCAAGGCACATGCTTAACCACAACTCTACTCAGCTTCTCTGATTTTTTTTTTTTTTGGTCGGTCGTGGGGCTTGAACTCTGGGCCTGGGCTCTGTCCCTCAGCTCTTCAGCTCAAGGCGAGTGCTCTACCACTTGAGCTACAGCGCCACTTCCGGTTTTCTGGTGGTTTATTGGAGATAGGAGTCTCATGGTCTCTCCTGCCCGGGCTGGCTTTGAACCTTGATCCTCAGATCTCAGCCTCCTGAGTAGCTAGGATTACAGGCGTGAGCCACCAGCGCCCGGCTGCTTCTCTGATTTTTTAACTGAACATCAAAATGTTTTATTTGACTCTTCCTCTTGATGGTTAATAGACTGTATATTAGAACTTTGGAGATACTGAATGTGTTACTTGAGCCACAGCTCCACGTTAGGCATTTTGGTGGTTAATTGGAAGTAAGGGTCTCTTAGACTCTTCTGTTTGAATTGGCTTTGAATGGAGATCCTCACATCTCAGCCTACTCAGTAACTAGGATTATAGGGGTGAGCCACTGGTGCTTGGCTTGAAAATTTCGGTCGTGCTGAATGATTTAAAGTAAAACTTGATGTCAGTGCATAGGTGTTCTAGCTCTGCCTACCAAGAGAAGAAGTTTCCTATTCAGGAAAATTAAATTTTAGCTCTGCCATGGCCCATTCTCTTTTTGTTTTTACTGACCACTAGGTAACCCTTTCTCCTGTTGCAGAACAGCTGTCCACATGTTTGTCATTAAAGAAGGCGATAATTGAAGATGTATGTTCCGAGCTGACTATTTGTATTCTGCACATTCTTAATTTAATTTGTATTTTTTTTCTTTTCTTTGTAAAATCTTGTTTGCTGACTTGGTGTTGAGGCTGGAGCTGACTGTTTGGCCAGCAGTCCAGCCTAGACTTGGGAGCAATTGCAAAACTTCCGTCTCGGGTGGGTGGAAGCCATATGTTTTGGGGAGGTGCTGGAGTGAATGAAATCCTTCCTACTCTTTTTAAAGTTACTCTTCTTCAGCCAAATCTGAGAGTGACATAAAATTGGCCTCATAAAAGTCCTGTCTTATAAAGGTTACGTCTTGCACAAGTACAAAGTGCTTTGTAGCTCCTCTATTTGCCTATAATTCTGGAATAAAAATGCTTATATAAACACATGTGGCATTGTTAATGAAGTTAAAATAAGGAAGAAGACAAAGCTGTGCAGGGGAGATTGTGCAAATTGTTATTAAGGTGACTCATAAATCTTACTAGGTCTTTACAACTTATCTGGGGAGAAATGGTCAGAAAGTGTCTTGTGTTTCCTACTTTTCAGTTGTCAAAAGGCCATAAGAATCTGCTCATTCCTTGCAGGGGAATCTAGTAATAACATTGACTATTCCATGTGTTTATGTGTGTGAAGGTGTATGTGCTTTTAATCTTACTGAGATTCATTGGAAATCACCTCTTTTTTTTTTCTTTTTCTCTTTCTGTAGGTCTCACTGGGATTCTAGGTTTGGGCATTGCGGCTCCCAATTTAGCCTTTTCTCAGATGGTGACCACTTTTGGCCTGGCTGGCATTGTGGGGTACCACACCGTCTGGGGAGTGACCCCTGCTCTTCACTCACCTCTGATGTCGGTCACTAATGCGATCTCAGGTTTGTTCTTCACTTTTTTGCTTCATCTTAGACTTTCATAGACCTCTGGAGGAGGAATGCTTTCAAAGAGGATTATTAAAGTCAGTGCTTTCTGAAGTTGTTGGGGATAACCCAGAGGCTCCTAGAGGGTGGTTGGCTTGTGAAGCAAGTGGCCATGAAGTGATTCAGTCTCTTGAGCTGCTCCCCTTTCAAGCATGGGGAACCCCTGATATTTCTTTCAATTATGATTACTTGTAAGGACACTTATGAAACTTGAAAACTAATAATACACAGACTCAGTTGCAACATCCCTTAGGATCTCTTCCTTGAATCAATTAAACATGCAGCTTAGCAAGGATATATATCTACAATAAGCTACACATAACATTGGTTCACCATGATGCTTAGGGTGTGGGAAAAAGCTTGCCAAGAGGAGAGCATCAGGCATCTCTTTGGTGTGACTTTGCATAACAGTCCAAGTAGCCGTCCACATGGATGCTTAGAAGCTATTTTTTCTTGGCCCCCAGGGTTGACTTAGATACAAAGCAATGAGACCCATAGTGAACAGGAATCAGGGTAGTTGGTTATCTCTTGTAAACTTAATTTAGTCATAGCTCCTGATTGCTGCAGGGAGCATATCCATTTTTAAGAGGAACTGAACTTAGGAAAGCTCAAAACTATAGCATCCTGATCAGGCAGTTATCATTTCATAATTAGTTCCTTCTGTTCCAGTTGCAAAGTACCCACTTGCAGTCACTTTTCACCACAGGCATCATTGTACTATCAAATTAAAGGTCAGATTCCTCTGCAAGAGGAAGAAAAGTTCGGTTAACCATTTGTGTACAGCAGTACTTCACATCAGAATGGTATTAAGGTATGTTGTCAGCAGGCTTCATCAGGAAAGTTGTTTGTATCATTTTGATGAAGGTGCCAGAAAGCTGCCTTGGATTTTTGATGTGAAAACGTTCCCCTTTCTGAGTTATACCCGAGAGGTCTTTGTGCTGGTCATTTGAAGTGTCACTACAGTCATTCACCACGTTCATGTTTTCTCTCTAGGTTTGACTGCAGTTGGTGGGTTGGCGCTCATGGGAGGACAGATGCTTCCTTCTACAACTTCTCAGGGTCTTGCAGCTCTTGCCACATTTATATCCTCAGTCAACATTGCAGGTACCTCGATGATGAAAGAAACCCGAGGGCCATTCGTGACAGAGACATAGGAAACAAACATAGGTGTAAAGCAGACAATTCTGATTTTAAGCATTATACCTTCAGAAAACCCACTTCACTCAGACCATAAATGTTCTTCATGAAAGAAAACTAAATGTTTCTGCCCATCTGTAATTATTAGAAACTTCTATTGATAAAAGAACAATTCCCCCCTTACTTCTAAGCATGCATGATGATGTCTTATTACAAGTTAACTGGAAAGCTATCAGTTGCATAGTTTTGCATTATGTTGACTTAGCACTATCACCATGACATCTATAAATAAATATAATTTTAGATAAAATTTTGGTCTTTTGCCTTCTTACAGCTAGTGCTTATTCATGAAAACAGCCTAGCACACCATTCATGTATGAGACTCATTTGATGCTATTTTGTAACTAAAAATTCTATCAAGTGTCCAAGAAACCTGGTGCCTGTTAATTTGGTATTTTTTCCCCTTTATCATTTATTCCAGAGTTTGAAAAATGGAATAAAATATTAGAAAAAAATCGACCTTTAGTCTTTTGCATTTTCAAGCTTTTTGAATGGCTATTTGCTTTTAGTCATGCAGAAATATTTGGTTTTGCATTCTGATAGCAAGTTTTCTCCCCCTCCCCTTCTTCCACTCTAATGGGATTGGCTTGACTAGTAGAATTACTTTTATTTTTGAGATTCTAAAATGTTATTAGAGAATATATCCATAGGCGAAAAAGATATGGTTAAAATAGAAGAAGTTGTAGTATAGCATTCTAAAGAAGAAAGAAAACTCATGAAGCTTAAGAGGTAACTGCTTGTGTTTGTATTTCCTTTGCTTTGATAAGGTGGCTTTCTGGTGACTAAGAGAATGCTGGATATGTTCAAGCGTCCCACGGATCCCCCAGAATACAATTACCTATATCTGCTTCCTGCTGGCACCTTTGTGGGTGGATATCTTGCTGCTTTCTACAGTGGTTATAACATTGAAGAAGTAAGAGCCCTTTGGAAAGTCTTCCATTTCTTCCCTCTTAGATTTAACATTATTAAATTTCCATTCCCCAAGAATCAGCACTCTGCACTCTAGACAGACTTGACTGCTAACATGAGCTTACCTGTTTGCTCCCAAGTTTTTCACATGTAAAAGAGTTGAGAAAGTATCAGTACCTTCCTTATGTACTTGACTCTTAGATTCTTGAAAAGATACAATGAAATAATCAGTAATTAATTTGAAAACTTTTAAAACTAAGTACTGTGAGTCCTTTTTCTGCTCTCTTTCTTCCTCTGCCAAGCCCGAACATCATCTCTTATGACCAAATGTTATGCCAATTCACTGAAAAAAAAGTAAGTTGTGTACTATTTGAGAAACAATCAACTTGAACTTTAGAAGTTTCCTGCCAAACTATAATAGAGCTTTAACTTTCATCTGAACTCTACATTTCCCCTTTCTTTCTACTACCTCTGACTGGATTGTAACCTCTCCGAAGGGAGAAAAATTATGTCTCTTGTTTGTTTGTTTGTTTCTGGGTTGGTAACATGCAATATTTACTGAGAAGAGTTGATACAGGCATTTAGAAAAACCTAAATCTAAGTTCTCTATCCCATTTGCTGATCATTTACCTCGAAGAAATTGTTTAATCTCTAAGCTTTTTGATTTTGTAAAAAATGATTTTCTAAAAAAGATCATTCCTCATGTAGATATCATGACACTAAGATAATGAAGACAGGAAGATAATGATGTCAGGAATGAATTGGAGCTTTTGTATTATTTTCAGATTCAACAGTAATGTCATTAAATTTAGGTGCTTCTATGTATGTTACTGTGTATCATTTCAAATCCAGAAGAGACCAATTTATATGAACAGTATACTTGCAAGTATAATTTAAAGTATTTAATATTTAATAAAGTATTCAATATTAAATAATTAAAGTATTTAATATTTAATATTCTTAATGGATAGGAAAATATGTTAAACTCTTAGGAGAACTCAGAACTGTCCTTCTATTATTTCAACTTAACTTTTCTTCAGAGAATCATGTTCTACAAAAGAAGACCTCTCTAAGCTAATAGACTGAAGGCTTTAATAATCTTTGTCTCTCCTTTCTTAAAAGCTCATGTACCTTGGCTCAGGCCTGTGCTGTGTTGGTGCCTTGGCTGGTCTTTCCTCCCAGGGAACAGCTCGTCTTGGAAATGCATTGGGCATGATTGGGGTTGCAGGAGGACTGGCAGCTACTCTTGGAGGCCTAAAACCAGGCCCGGAATTATTAGCTCAGATGTCTGGAGCAATGGCTTTGGGCAGTACCATTGGTAAGCACTTGTCTTTTATGTACCCGAAGGTTCCAGAGATTTGAGTATAGTCATGTATTGCTTAACAATGTGGAGGCATTTTGAAGAATACATCCTTAGGCAGATTATCCTTGTGCAATTTCATCCTTGTACAAACATCAGAGAATTTACTTACCCAAACCTAGATGGCATGGCTTATTAAACATCTGTGCTATATTGGAGATAGCCCATTGTTCCTGCTACTAATCTGCACAGCATGCTTCTGTTCTGAATATAGAATGCACTTACACTTCATTGAGAAGTATTTGTATATCTAAACATAGAAAAGGTGTGGTAAAAATGCCAATCATTAGGAATGTTTCATCTGCATTTATCATATAGGACCACTGCCATACATGCATTCCTTCATTGACCAAAGCATGATTGTACTTTGTTAGGAGACTGTACTTCACCAGGAATAAGACTTTTTACTAGAAATTCAATTTGAGTGTTGAAGCTCAATTGACAGGATTAAATTTCCTTCTATAACTATTGTCCTGTTAATAATTTTCATTCAAATACCATTTTCTAAAGTCTGTCAACCGAGTTGAAAACAGTCACAAACACCTTGTGCTCAGTTCTTATTTCCCTTTATGTAGTGTATCCAGTCAGCTCATAGTAGAGTTGGAGATTAGAATACTTACTTTTATGCCATATAGTAGCTCTTTTTTCTTTCCTGCTAATTACAAATAATATCAGGAGATTCTGCTTTATAACCTGTTCAAAGGTTGAAAAACACAACTAAGCAGAAAAACTACTGTTAAGTGGTGAGCTGGAGCTATTATTAATTTTTTTAGGAATTTTATGAGTGTTTTTAAACACATTGTTAAAAATTAAATTATGTAACTTATTAAATATATTAGAAACAAAAGTAGTAATACTTAAAACATAACTTTCTAATTAATTTACTAGACTTTATTATCCGTGCTCTGGAGGTTATTTATAATTATGTCCCTGTGTAGTAGAAATGTGCCATGTAATAGTGTGATACTGTAATTTTCTCCCAGTTCTGCATTCAGTGATGTCACACTGGCAGACTGTAATTATCTTTGATAGAAGTAGTTATGCCCCATACAAATAAGCTCATGCTGCAAAATGTATTATTTCATCTCTTTTCAGACCTAAGAAACGATGGAAAAATATTAATACTGCAGCTAAAGCTTAAAATATGTCGTGACTATGCTCATTACATTGTGACTAATACAAAAAATTGAGCAAATACTGTTCCTGTATTTTATTTTATTTGAAATTTTATTAACTTGAAGTAGTTGTATAAAGGAGTTGCTGTTTAACAAAGCAGTTTATGAATACAATATATCTTGACCAATGTCACCTCTTTCAACATTCAAATAGTCTGTTATGTTCAAATAAGTTTTGTCTCATTATTACATTATATGGATTACTAGAGCATTACTATACTCTATAGTTAGTTAGTTAGTTCCTGTCCCCTATGGTAATGCATTCATTTGTACTATGGAGTATAATTTAGAATAAGACATATTTCTTATCATTTTCTTGGTTTTATAATCACATCTATGAAAATGTAAAACTGATTAGTATTTTCATGGCAAACATGTTCTAGCCCTACATTTATAAATTTATTCAGACTAGCAATTAAATGAAAATTTTAATAAGCTCTATGTGAATCACGGCTAATTATATATTGTGTCAGCCATGCTATGCAAAATGCCATTCTATGCTTTTTCTCTGTTACTCTGAACAATTGAGAATAAAGTGTGTGTGAATAGCATAACACCTTTTCAGTCTTCAAAAACATCGAAATGTTCCTGTATTTTAGAATTGTCATCAGATTCAGCAAAGAAGTCACTTGTGACTAATAAATGTGGTTACACAAAAACATAACATAACATACAGTGTTTTACCTGCTATCATACTTGTTAAAGTAATGCAAAAAGCTGAGTGTACTCATTCATAAGTTGCAAACAATAGGTTGGCTGTAGATAAAAGAGTTTAGCAGTAGTCAGTAGAAGCATTCTGTATAAGTCAACAATCAACAGAATTTGGAATAAAGAACAATATATTTTGTAATTTGAAAATCATGGGGATGCAGCTTCATATCAAACTACTATCTTATATGTACATGTACAAATTTTGCCCAGGAATGTATTTAACATTGTTAAATACTTTCTAGCACTGTCTATGTCAGCTTTAGGCTTTTTTTTTTTTAAACAGTTTTGGTTTGAGTTGTTTCTTGACAATCCTAGAAAGGCACTTAAAGAAAAATTGTTGTATTGTAGGTTGATTATGGGAAATTCTTTAGACATGGTCTTAGCAAATATTCTGAGATCTATTCTATTCCTTCTATTTACCTTTCCTATAGCTTTGAAACTAAAATTTCCTAATTGGGCATCAATACTGAGTTTTGCATTTGGACTTTGCTTTTGGACTTCGTTTCCTTCTTCCCACCTGAAAACTCCCCCCCCCCCCCCCCCCCCGCCCCATATTCTAGTTGTTTCTTACACATGCAGGAACAAGCACTAGCTTTAGAGAAGAGGGTCTGGAGTATGCATTCAGTGGGGAGAATGTAAGGAGATTAACTGAAGCTTTAAGTAACTCTAGGAAGCTTGTGGTTAGGACATTGAAGTTCATGAGAGAAAGACATATGTATTGATGTTGTATGTTTGTGTTATTTGGCATTGGGCCTTCAGTATGTACTAAATCTATCTCCAGTGACTTTATCTTCTAGATAACCCTTGTCCCAAATATTTAGCCCATGCTAGGAACTAGTTAATATTTATTGATGGAAACCTTGTGTGATTTGTTGTGGCTGCATCTTAAAAGTCTGTCAAATTTTAATTTCTACTTGACCTTTATTTCCCAACAGGATTGACAATTGCCAAACGCATCCAGATTTCTGATTTACCTCAGTTGGTGGCTGCTTTCCATAGTTTAGTGGGTTTGGCAGCTGTGCTTACTTGCATATCTGAGTACATCATAGAGTATCCACATTTTGCTCTGGATGCAACAGCCAGTCTTACCAAGACCATAGCTTACCTTGGCACTTATATTGGTGGAGTCACCTTTAGTGGGTCTCTTGTTGCCTATGGAAAATTGCAAGGTAAGTGAGTCAGTATGATGTAGAGTAGATGCCTGTTGTTTAAGGTGTTCATGGGCCTATTTCAGTTTCAGAAATATCTTCACAACCAACACTATTAAGTAAAGAGTAATTGCATAATCCTCAGGATATGTAAAATACTCAATTTATAAAGATGCTTCTTTTTTTTATTGATCCTTAGGAACATCAAATTTTTGTGGCTATCTCCTCTTCAGATAGTTAATAGAGGAAACCGTGCACAGAAATTTGTGTAAAGATGGGTTGACATTAGATAAGACATGTAAACAAAGTACATATGCATATCTAGGTACAGTAGCTCACACCTGTTATTCTAGGTACTCAAGAGGTGGAGATAGAGAGGATCATGGTCTGAGGCTACCCTGGGCAGAATGTTTTTGTGACCCGCCCCCATCTCTATGAAGTCTATGCAGACTTCACAGAAATGAACTTTATATATTTTTTTAGAATAGAGAGAAGCTTATTGAGTAATTTATGTGATTGGTGAACCATACTCACTTTGAAAGCAAATATGTATTTTAGAGTTCAACCACAGCAACTTTTGCTACTGCTGTCATGACTTAGAATCATGGGATAGGACAAGCCAGAGAGGCTGTCCTCAATGTTTTCACAAACAAATGAATCCCTAGAGAAACTTAAAAATTTGGTCTTGCCTCTCAGTAATAAAATCATTAAATGGGGAAACTTCCATGAAAATTAACAGTTCTAAAAGAACTTCAAACCCATGACATTTTAGTCTTGGGCTTTTTCTTTAGAAATAACTAACAAACAAGGGTTCTTCTCCCTTGGGCTCCGTGGATAAAATCAGAAATGTTAATGTACTAGGACTCTGTATTGAAGTTTTAACTAAATAAAACCACACTTAACAACTTCTGTGTAGGGGAAAAAATCACTTTTTAAGATTCTATGAGTAAAGAAATTATGTGGTCAAAGTTAGGAAAAAACCAGTTAAGTCAAACCATGCTTTTCCCGTTTCCATTCATGTTTGTCCTATATAATAACTTGAATATGATTTTGTTTCATATTTAGTGATACACAGTGACATAGAGTTTGGGTTTAATTACAATGTTGTTATTCTGACATTAAGTTTGAGGAGTTTAGGGTTAAATGACCCACTCTTGAATTTGTGTGTGAGAGGATTTTGTACAGCACATTCTAGGTTTTGAGTACCACATGCTTTGGTCTAGGTATCCTGAAATCTGCTCCTCTCCTCCTACCTGGAAGGCACTTACTCAATGCAGGATTGCTGGCTGCTAGTGTGGGTGGGATGATCCCATTCATGATGGACCCCAGCTTTACCACTGGCATTACCTGTCTGGGCTCAGTGTCGGCTCTCTCTGCTATCATGGTAAGAAGCTGTAGGTGGAAAAGTACATACTGTACTTAGCAAGAAACTGAAAATATTTTGTTAGATTACCATAAAGCCATATTATTTTTTCTGGTTTTTGAATTAGTGTTTAAAAAATGTTTGTATTTATTTTATTAGAATAGACTGGTTGTACCAGGAGCTTTATTGTGTATTTTTACACAAGTAAACAATATATCATATAATTGACTTCATCTCCTTTATTACTCTTCCCCATCTCACTTTTTCTTCTTAAAACAATTTCAACAGATTTTTTTTTTTTGGGTCAGTCATGGGGCTTGAACTTTAGGCCTGGCCGTTGTCTCTGAGCTCCTCAGCTCAAGCCTAGTGCTCTACCATTTGAGCCACAGTGCCACTTTTGGCCTTTTCTGTTTATGTGGTGTGAGGAATCGAACCCAGGGCCTCACGCATGTAAGACAAGCACTGTACTGCTGAGCCACCTTCCCAGCCTCCAGATTTTTATTGTACTATTCTCATACATTCAGATATTCAAATATTTACCCACATCCTTAGCTCTCTCCTCTCCCTCTCCCACTGGTACCTGTCTCCCCTGTTTTTTTTTTTTTTTTTAAAGCATGTATTGATTTTATATCAAGGTTTCACAATGGTATTTCAGACATGCACATATATTATGTTTTGCACATAATAATCCTCTCTATTGCTTTCTCTTCCCACACCCTTCTAACCCACTTCTTTTTAAAAATTTTGTTTTATTGTAAAGATGCTGTACAGAGGGGTTACAATTACATGAGTAAGGCAATAGTACACTTCTTGTCATGCATTGTTCAGTAGCTTTCACTGAAGTTCCTTAGATAGCTGTTTACAAACTTGCACTGTATTTTGAAATTATTCACCCTTTTCATCTTTCTGTTTCTCACCTCCTCCCCTCATAGTCCAAAAGTTAAAATCATGTTCTATGTATTTGTGTGTTTGTAGGTATATGTACATATGAACATGTCCATGAATATGTACATATTCTATGTCTAGCTTCTACATATGAGAAGAAATATATGATAAGATATATAAAGAAAATTACTTTTTTTCAACTGAATTGAGCATTTAAAAGTTGTCACATGACAGCTTTATTGCTTGGAGTCTTCACTACATTAATGTGTTGGCAAATAGGAGTTTAAAAACATCAAGGGTTTCAACTTTATTGAGTAGGTACCTATTGTGTGACAAGTCCTGCAAAATACTGCTTTGGGGTTTATGTAACACGTTTAAGATAGCTCTTGCCCATTAGTTGCTCTCAACTTCATTGGAAGAAGTGACACCAAATCAAACATGTACATTAAATGAATTGCAGTGAAGAAACCTCATAAGCTCAGCTTACGAGTTACACCTTCCGTGATAGGTTTGATACTCGTTTTTTGTTTTTATGTGGTATCTATTAGAGAATTGACCAGATCGAGGATGTGGTCAGTAGCTGAAGTGGAACTTGTTTAAAACTACTAGTCAGGAAACTGGAGTGATTAGGAGGCAAGGCATTAGATGTCAGAGGTTTAGCGTTTCTAATGTTAACTTTGTGTTCTGCTTTGGTTTTCATGCTAGGGTGTGACTTTGACAGCTGCTATAGGGGGTGCTGACATGCCTGTTGTGATCACCGTGCTGAACAGCTACTCAGGCTGGGCACTGTGTGCGGAGGGCTTCCTGCTCAACAACAACCTGCTGACTATCGTGGGTGCCCTCATCGGCTCCTCTGGTGCCATCCTGTCATACATCATGTGTGTGGTAAGAGACGTGTAAAAGGAAGGGAAAGGCATCTCCAGAAACATGGACATGCTAGCCATTTCTTTTCAGTAAGATAAATCTGCTTCATTTATTGCTTTTAATTATTTTCAACAGAAATACCTGAATTTTCTAGGTGAATATATATCTTCTCCTTCCTGCCCTTTAAAAAAAAGATTTTTTATTTACATATGGCATCTAGTAATGGGTATAAATGAAAGTCTTTGTTAGTTGTTCAAAGGAGTTATAACATTGGAATTCTCTTCTGTGAGCTGAGGCCAAGGGATTGGGGGATAGAAGCATAAAGAGAGGAAGGGTGAGAGAATGCAGTCATAATATTTAGTGTATATATGTAAAAATGGGACTAGGAAAATTAAGGGGAAGGGTATGATTGGGGGAGAGGGGAAGAATGATGTAAAGGATGACACTGAGCAAGATGCATTGTACTAACAAACTGACATGTTGAATTGAAACAATTTTATAAAACTACTTAAAGACAATAATAGATGAGTAAGTTTTTAAATATGTCTTGTTGGAAGTATAATATGTCTCTATATACCCTTGTTTTTCTACTGGTACTTTTATTTTTCTATTTAGTATTTTCTATTTTTATTAGCTATTTTTTCTATTTAACTGTGGAGAATTAGAAAAATTGAGTAAAAGCAAAAATCTTTTCTAATGCCTGGCGATAAATACATAAATTTTTTATTACTTTTTTCAATTTTTTTGTATAGTATTTCATATCTGTGTATTTTTGTGCTTGATTTTATGTTTTCATTTTTGTTTTCTGTTTTTTCTTTTTGAGATAGAGTTTCTTTATGTAAACCAGTCTGGCCTGACATGAGTGATCCTCTTCCCTCTGCATCCTTACTGCTGGAATCTAGACAAGAACCAGTATACCTAGCTTTCATTCAATTTTTAATAATCTTACAAAGTTTTTGGCTTCTTAAAGATCAATAAAACGTATTATTTTTAGAGGCTTTATACTAATCAATCAGACTGATATATAAAATTAATTAAAATTTTCCACAGTGCTATACTATTTATATTATTTTATACAATTTTATATTATTTCTGACTTTTGTCTTTAGATAGATTCCTAGAACTGAAAGAGTCTGTTCCTTTTGCAAGCTTTTGTAAACTTATTGCTATGTTTTAGAAAGCTCCTTTCTCATTTATGCTTGCACTGATCATCTATGAGAATACCTACTTTGAACTTTTACGATGGGCTTGATTTAAATAAAAAGGATTCAGAACAAGGAATAGTACCACAAATACTTCCTAGCTGCTTTTTTTTTTTTTTGGTAAATTTGAATTTTCTTTTGAATGGAAGGTTTTCCTTCTAATTCAAAGATATGACTACAAAAATATTAATTTATAGATAGCTTTGGATGACTATTAAAGAATAAATATAAAATTAAGTGAAATAAATATGTCTTTACAATGATAAATAATTGAGATAAAAAAGAGTCCTGCTTCATCCACCTTTGTTGTTTTAGAAAAACAAAGAAGTAAAATCCTGTAGTTTGCAATTCAACATTTTCCTTTTCTTAATCTAAATACCTCATTGTCATTTAATATTGAGGTTATCTCTTTTTATACATTTTTAATTATAAAAATACTGTACAGAGGGGTTACAGTTACATGAACAAGGTAATGAGTACATTTCCTATCAAGCATTGTTACCTCCTCCTTTGTTTTTCCCCTACCATCCCTTTGAGGTTATCTTTTTCTTTTTCTTTTTTTTATTGTGAAAATACCGTAAAAAGGGGTTACAAGTACATGGGCAAGATGATGAGTACATTTCTTATCATGCATTGTTGCCTCCTCCTTTGTTTCACCTTCCCATCCCTTCCCATCTCCCTCCGCCACCACCCCCCTGCCCCCCCCCCAAAGTTGTAAAGTTCGTTTTTCAATAATGATTTGTACATCTCATTGTTGCAATGGGTCCACTTGTATCCCTATTTAAACTATTTGTTTTTTCCCTTCCCCTCCACAAATTATACCAATATCAAATACAGTGAAAACAGGTGTTATACCGTGGGGGCGGGACAAACAAAGCAACTAAGAAATCATCTTATGTTAGAAACAATTGCATGAAAGAAAAAACATTTGAATATTTATCTTGGGGTTCATTTCACCTAAGATCAACTTATCTGACCATTTCTGCTTGTCTCAGACATATACTAGTTATTGCAAATAAGGGAAACCATGGGACCTTATGTTTCTTTGGGCCTGGCTTACTTCACTTAATATAATTTTTTCTAAGTCTTTCTATTTCCTAACAAATGGGACAATGTCATTCTTTCTGATGAGGCATAGAATTCCATTGTGTATATATACCACATTTTCTTGAGAGGTTATCTTTTTCTAATAAAAACATTTTTATTTCTTTGACCACATTATAAAACAAAGGATTTAAATTTGAAACAAGCTGAAAGATTTGTATTTGGAAAGATGAGCTTCATATCCTGTTTGAAAGCTGTCAAGTTTAGTGAGGTTTTAGTGTGTGTGTGTGTATACACACACACACACACACACACATACATATATATACATATATATGTATGTACATTTGCTGGCTCTGAAGCTTGAACTCAGGGCCTAGACACTGTCCCTGAGCTCCTTTTGCTCAAGGCTAGCACTCTACCACTTAAGCCACAGGTCTACCTCCAGATTTTTCTGTTATTTAATAGGAGATTAGAAGACTTTCCTACCCAGGCTGACTTTGAACTGTCACCTTCAGATCGTTGCCTCCTGAGTAGCTAGGATTCCAGGCATGAGCCACCAGTGCCCAGCTATACAAATTATTTTAAAGAAGAAAAAATATATTCAGTTGTTTATAAGTATTAATATCTCTTTAAAAAAAATGAACTTAGAACCATTTAACTTTGTTTCATTTGGAGAATTAAATGACCAGCAGAGGGCAGCAGATTTTCATTATTTATGCTTTGCCAGAAAACTGATTTTAAAATTGAGATTTGAACTTTATCAAAGTCGGTGGCATAGTGAGAATAAAGGGAAAACCTTCTACCAAGTTTTTGAAGGGTCATCATGGTGGCTTCTGCTTTAAAAAAATAAAGTTTATAAGCATACATTTATCATACAAAGGGGTTTAATTGCGGTATTTGTATACAGACACATACTTTGATCTAATTCACCCTGTCTGTATTACTCTTTCCTAACTCCCCTTTCTCCTCCACTTTAACAGTTTTTAGTAAGTTTTATTAGGCTTTCTCATTCCTATTATCTATCTATGTATGTCTATCATCTGTGGGTAGATAAAAATGGATAGCCTACATATAAAACATACTTTGATCACAGTGGCTCACGCCTGAAATCTCAGCTACTGAGGAGGCTGAAATTGTGGTTCAAAGCCATTCCAGGGCAGGAAAGTCTGAGACTTTTTATCAAGAAGCCATAAGTGGAGCTGTGGCTCAAGTGGTAGAACACTAGTCTTGAGTTGATAAAGCACAAGGATAACACCCAGGGCCTGAGTTCAAACCCTAGGACCAGCACACACACACACACACACACACACACTACACACTCTATATGTGTGTGTGTGTGTGTATTCCATCATCTTTTTAGCCCTCTCCTTCCTTATCCCCCCCCAAACAATCTTGCATTTTTAATCATTCCTACTCCCTCCACTTTTTCTTCTAGATTTTGCATACCAGTGAAAATATGTAATGTTTGTCTTTTTAAAAATTTTGATTATCTTTATGTAGTTGTACAAAGGAGTTGCCATTATCAAAGCAGTTTATGAATATAATGAATATTGACAAATGTCACCACTTTCAGCTTTCAACATTCTCACCCACATCTCCCAACCCACCCTTTCCCTCACTTTTATAGGATATACATTGAATTCTTGACTGCATTTCCCCTCTTCTCCTTTTCATTTGTTTACCTTTGTCTCTTGACCCTACCCCATCCCTTGCAATTACCCATTTCCTAGTGTTTATTTTGTTGATCTTTGACTTTACCTTTCAAGGGAATTATACTATTTGACTTATCTCATGAATGTACCATATTTCAGTTAATACATTTGTATACACTTCATACCACCCAATATGTTGATAAGCTAATTCTAGCTTTCACGTATTAAGGAAAACATACAACCTTGTTCAACTGCTCTGGAAAGCAGTATGGAGGTTCCTCAAAAACCTGAGCATAGAACTGACCAATAATCCAGCAATTCCATTCCTAGACATTCATCTAAAAGATTACAAGCCAGGCAGGACACAGTAAAGCCACCAGCACAACCATGTTCACTGCAACACTATTCACCAAGCAACAATATTCACTATAGCCAAGGTACAGAATCAACCAAGATGCTCCTCAATGAATGGATGAATTGATCAAGAAAATGTAGTATAGGGCTGGGATGTAGCTCAGTGGCAAAGCGCTTGCCTCGCAAGTGCAATGTCTTGGGTTCGATCCCCAGTACCAAAAAAGAAAAGACAAAAAAAAAAAAGAAAATGTAGTATATATACAATAAAATTTTATTCATCAATTAGAAAGAAGGATACTGTACCACTTGTAAAGAAGTAGACTTTCAAAAAACTGTTTCTTAATAAGTATTTTATTGTAAAAATACTGTACAGAGGAGTTACAGTTACATGAGCAAGGTGTAATGAGTACATTTCTCATCAAGCATTGTTGCCTCCTCTGTTTTTCCCCTGCCATCCCTTCCCTCCTACCTCCTTAACTACACTCCCACGCTCCCCACCTAAATTGTAAAGTTTGTTTTTCAACACAGTGTCTTGTACATCTCATTGTTGCAATGGGGCAACCTGTGTCCCTATTTAAACACTTTGTTCAAAAAATTATATTAAGGGAGGTAAGTCAGGCCCAGAGAGACAAACAGTTGTCTTTCTTAGTTTAACTTATTTCACTCAACAAGATGATTTACATTTCTGTCCATCTTTGTAAAGACATAATTTCATTCTTTTTATTGATGAATGAATAAGTAGGTATATATACCACTTTTTTTTGGG